TCCTTCCGCCTCAGCCTTCCAAGTAGCTGGAACTACAGACGCGCGCTACCACGCCCGGCTGATTTTTGATTTATTATGGAGATGAGGTCTCGCCAAGTTGCCCAGGTGGGTCTCGAACCTGCGGGCTCAGGCAATCCACTCACCTCAGCCTCCCAAAGGGCGGGATTACAGGCTGAGCCACCGAGCCCGGCCAGGATGGGGGATTTAAAGAACCTTAGGAAGAAGGTGGCTTTTCCCCTCAAAGCCCTGCCCACTGCCTTGTAGTTAATGCCATTTCATCCCCATCACCTCCTATCTTTTCCTGACATCTCTCTTTGCCAGCAGGATGAAAAAACAGAAACATCTGTTTATGGCAAATGCCCAGAGTTGGCCCTCAAACAAAGACTCTGAACAAGAGAAAACTCATAGGAAATGGAAGGAAAAAAAAAAAAGGTAGAGCCCACTCAAGCTTGAAGGCCTAATTGCCTGATTTCCTGTAAGCATATGCTAACGTGTGAAATGACTACTTGAACAACTGGAGACACAAGAAAAGGGGTATGTTAAAGTATTTTCCTTATAAAACTCAGCCACAGAAATGACTCATTTCCTTGTCTCTAAGGAGGTTGTAAGAAAAAGCAGGAACTATGGTGACCTTTATGGACAGCATGGACATTTCATTGCTGATACTAGGAGGGCTGGGAGCTGTTACTTGATTCCACAAATGAGAGGGACACCACGGGTTCCAATCCAGAGATCACAAAAGACGTTCGCTGATAAATTACAGAGGTGACTTTATCATTGTACATAAATGGTATAGGTCCAATAAGAAGACTCTGGAATAAGAAAGTTTTCCCCCAGCAGTTCTCAGAGATGCTTCCTTATCCAGCACACCACAATACTAGCTTCTGAGAAACTAGCAGAAACACAGTAGGGAGTCCCTGACTAGGAAGGTATGTGCAAAGCAGGACAGCTGTTTAAACTGGAATAAGTTCTAGAAAGAAGACTCTTGCTGCTTAGGGCAGTGCTGGTTTTCCTTGGGGTACTTGGTAGCACTGTTGAGTCAATCATCTGGCTATTTCAGTCCTCTAGCTACTTAGCCAGGCAAGAGTGCCCTGGGATGCAACAACCATGAACTGTACATTACGTGGAGAAGATAAACGGAGTGTGTGTGGGATGGGGGACTGAGAAATAACACAAATCTAAGACAGTGAGAAATCATTCTACTTGTCCTAATTGCAGTTTCTCCCTAACTGTTCCACATGCTTTCACTGCCTCTTACGCCATCTAAGACCATAAAGTTGTGCAATTTAAAACTCAGCTAAAGACCAAAGTGGTTTCAAACTGCTGAGGTGAGTAAAACCTAGTCATCAGCTGTCAGCCAACTGTCCATCTGAAGGGCAGAACCGCAGAAACCAGGAGATAAACACCGCAAAGAGTTAGCAAGTCAACTTTGTTTGGCTTGACCGCTTGGATAAACATCTGAGAAGGGAATGCACCTGACCCTTACACTCAAGCTCCCCCATTCTGCTTTCGTCGGGGTTCACTCCTGTGGCAGCACTCACTAGTACCATCCCCAGGAAGCAGTGTGCTTTTCTAGAAGCCAGAAGCACTGTGGTGGACAAAGGGTTCTATAAGTAAAACTCACGTAGGGAGAATAGAGTTCCCCGGTCTCTGTGATTTCACCCGCCATTTCCAAAAGTGAGGAAGGGTCGGTAGCAGAGGTTCCTTCTGTGCAACGGGAGTGGCGGCGGCTGCGGCTCCCTAGGACAAAAGAGCACACTTCACCTTTCTGATGGACTGAGACAGGGAGGCTTGCAGACTTCCCCGCTCCCTCCCAGTCCTGTTATCACAGACAGGGCCTCAATATCCCTAATGAGACTCAACCCCGAAGGAAGGGTCACTGTGGGTGTCAGAAGTCTGGGCGGTTTCTTCTAACTTTTCCTTTGCCGTGCAGGACACTGCTCTGTGCACGACTCAATACTGCTCAGACTCCAAGTGATTTAAGAGGCCTCCGAAGCCACTAAGTCTCACCCACCACGAGAGCCCCCTTTACACGCTATGGGGTGGTTATACCCATTTAATTCCAAGAACCGCAAGCTCACCACCACACAGAGCAGCCCAAGAACTGTCCGCCTCCTCTGCCTACGGCAGGGAGCTGGGGGTTTCCCACATCGCCCCTCCGACCCCTTCTAATGCCAAACCCCTTCTTTTTTAACGCGGCCTCCACTCATCGCCCCCCCCACCTGTCTTTTGCCTTAGGGTGTCCCCCCCTCAAAGCTTCCTCTCTTCTCGAGAGCCCCACTCCGAGACTCTCCCTCTCCCTCCCTCCTGGGGGGCCCTGAGTCTGGTGCCCCCGGACCTGGTGCCCCCGGACCTGCCCCAACCCATCCCATCCGGCCGGACCGGACACCTGCAGCACCGCGCGCTCCGCGCCGCCACCGCCGCCGCCTC